TTTTTTTGCCGTCGGGATGCGTCTGCTGTTAAGAAGACTGAGACTAATCCCTGCATTGCTTCCGTCTCGAATTTGCTTGCATCACATAGCGGCCGAGCGCCAGCTGGGGTAGGTCCGGGAAAGGCGAAAGGTACTGAAAAGATGTTCACTCAAAGCTCATCGGTATTAACTCCTGGTAATTGGCAGGGATTTGCGCTGCACCACGGTGCCGGTCGTTGTCACTCCAGCTCCATCAGCGCCTTCCTCGACGACACTGAGGATGTTCGCAGCAGCAAGGCCTTCGATCGCCTGGAGGGTGCTGGTGGGCGACGGAGGAGCTCCTTGGGGGATTTAGAGAGTGCGCTGGCAAGGCTGGGCATCGCGTGCAGCCAGGGGAAGAGCCCCGAGTTGTCTGCGATTACGACACCGCCGAGGGGGAGCGTGTCTGCCACTGACGGGGCGCACATGGAGCGACAGAAGGGCGGCAGACTGCCACGGGGCCCGCAAGGGAGGTCGCTGGTCGGATGGCGCAAATCACCGCCCCCGCGGGGCCATCTGCGCGGTCGTGCAACAGCAACGACACGCTCTGTCACGAGCCATCGTGCGGTGGGCAAGACAGGCGGCACTATTCCTCCTCATTCAACTACGTTGATGGCTAGAAGAAATCAGTCACAACAACAACGGATCCGTAGCGTCCGGCAGTCAACAGCAGGGAGGGCTGTAAGTGGAGGATCGACAGCGACAGCGCCCTCTGTTGGCGAGAGAGGATCGTCGGCCGCGCGGAAGGGCCGAGAGGCACCCCCCACAGCATCGGCTCCTGCAGTTGCACGGAAGCGGAAGAGCTACATCGAGAGCATCAACGTCGGCGATGGCGATCCGTGGCAGCCGCCGAGCGGCGAGACACCGGGGAAGCGAAAGGCATCCGATGGGATCCCTGTGATGCAGCCTCTACCTCGCCACACCATCCGGCAGCTCTACGCTGAAGATGTGGCCCCTTTTGAAAAGCGAAGCCCCTCCCTAACTGAGTCAGCTCCATTACCCACGCAACTGTCAGTGCGTGCTTTAGAGTCTACATTGAACTGCGCACATGGCCTTGATGCCTCCAGCGGCGTTACCGCACCATCAGTCCCTCTCTCGTGTGTAGAGGGCGTCCACGACCCGTCACTGCTGACGGCACCCAAGTCGGTGGCTGTGCCCTCCTTGCACGCATGGGCGCCACCACCGTCCAACGTGCTGCTTCCGGACGGCATGATGCAGCAGCAGCAGAAGCAGCAGAAGCAACAACAACAGGGGGATGCTGCACGACGCGAAGTGTGGCGTTTGAGCAGCCCCGCTGTTGGTGACGGAAGCGACGCGAATGAGTGGATGCTACCGCTGCAGGAAATTCCNCCATCCAAGAAGAAGTCGGCCAATGCCGCTGGCACCAGAAAGAGTTTTGCGCCTGTCAAGGATGACAACGAAATCGACTATCATGTTCTTTTTAGCGACATGCGTTGCAAGAAATCGTGTCAGCGTGCCGCTGAGCCCCTCACTGAAAAGAACGCGCGAGCATCGCCAGCAGCAGCAGCAGGTGAAGTGAACGGTTTGGCCAACTCAATGGCGGCCTGTTCCGCGCTTCTTCGTGAACCGCAGCAGCTGCTCGACAGTGAGTTCTTGGTGCCCGGCAATGCGGCATCGTCGCTGTCGGCGTCACGCCCACGCAACGTCAACCGGTGGATGACAGTATTCAACTCGGGCACGACGCGCACCTCGCTGTTTCAGCCGACGGTGCAGCGCTTCACCTTCGTGGAGTTGTCGCACCCCGCCAAGGTGCTCTATGCGGCGGTGCTGTACCTCCGCACGCTGGGCGGCTTCCCCACGCTGCTGCGCATCAACCCCCTCACGGAAAACTCAAGCGTTGTGGGGAAGGAGCACTGCGTGGAACTCGTCTTCGCCGCACGCGACGAGGGTCGAGAGAAAGAGAGTCCAACGCTGTCGCGCGTAACGTTCAACGCCGCGCGGCCACGGCGTCTGAGTGTGACGCGGGGAGCGACAGCGGCGTGGCCGAGCGGGACTACGGAGGCAGAGGAGCGTGTGGTGGTGGTGCGCTCGATTCTCGCGGAGAAGTCTGTGGTGGAGCGCTTCGGTGGGCGGGAGGTGGTGCACGTTCTGCCGCCGCTGCAGAGCACCACCTCCACGCTTGACGCTATGGCGAGCAGCCGTGGTAGCGCCCAGATGATGTCGTCGAGGAGCGACGCGGTGCAGCGGCTGCTGCTAAACAAGGATATGACGTTCCGGTCCTCGACGGGGTCGCAGATGCGGCTGCCCATGTCGTTGCAGCGTGGCAGTGGGAGCAGGCAAGAGATCGATCATGGTGACCTTGCAGTGGCGTTCCTGATGAGTGCGGGGGCGTCAGAGTTCAGCAGCGAGCTGCCGGAGCCAATGGACCTCGAGGGACTGCGCTACAAAATCTACACACTCACAAAGCACGACGTGGACAGCGCTGCACAGAGTGAGGCGCGCAGCATCTTTGTCCCGCGACATGCCTCACGGCATCGCCCCAGCACCTTTGAACTCGAGTTGACGAAGATGACGGGGAGGGCCCCGCTGACAGTGTCGGATGCGGAGGCAGCAGCAGCAGCAGCGGCGTTAAANGAACTCGAGTTGACGAAGATGACGGGGAGGGCCCCGCTGACAGTGTCGGATGCGGAGGCAGCAGCAGCAGCAGCGGCGTTAAACACAACAAGAGACGCGGCAGAGATGCGGCAGCGGTTCCCGCCGTACTCTCCAGTGACCGTTGCGGAGTCAACGCTGGCGGCGAGGACCGGCGCTGCGGCACATGGAGGTGGGCAGCAGCACCATCACCAGCAGCAGCAAAGTGAGTGCCTCGCACCGCACTTTCGCCAGCTGCGGCTGCCGTGCCTCTACAAAGATCTCGTGGACGCTATGCAGTACGCACTGGACGAGCACGTGCGTCTGGTGGAAGAAAAGGCCTCGTATGCCCGGCACTTTTAAATCACGCGGCACTGCATACCCACGGACATAAGCGTAGGCCGCACTGAGAGAGACGTATATACATAGAACGAAAGAAGATCGGGGGGTATGTGTCAACGATGCAAACAAGCCATATGCACACTAGAAGAGTTTTTTTTTTTGAATTTGCTTTATAACATCACCGGTACCGTTTTTTTTTT